TAGCACACATGTTTGTCGATTTATCTTTTGTCATTGAAAAAATGTACAGGATTTTCATATTCCATAAAATATTGTAAAAACATCACATTCACCTATTCTTCAAGCATCAACGTATTTATGATTATTAAAAGCACGGTTACAAAATCTTCTGAGGTGATTGTTATTTTAATTCATTGAAAAAGAAAACTTTTATGTTGAATTTCGCATCATACTACTCAAGGGTTACCTGCTCCAATAGTCCCATATTTTGAAGTAATAGATTAAAGGAATGTAGCTAGTCAACTCCACCTACAGCTAACTCTTGAGCTACTCTTTTGGCAACGAATAGAAGGATTGACCATCACTTTACAATGCTCCCCGGCCGGAAGGGCGAGCATGTTCGGTATCAGAATTCGATCCCGCGACCTGTGAATTGCGAGCCTAGTGTCCTAACCACTAGGTGAAAAGAAAGAGGTTCTCTTCTTTATATGAATGAAACTAATTCATGTTATGTGTTGGATAAGCATCTTACATGAATATGTAAAATATTTCCTAGTTTGATCATTAAAACAACTAAAATACTGAGATTTACTAATGGAGTTAGCTGAAACTAAAATCTCGAGAACGGGAATAGTAAACAACCTGAATTAAACAGCACCTGTGTTTGTATATGGTGTTTGGTGAAGCACGTGAAAAAAAGGTTTCGCCCTGCGGAGCTTCATATAGAGGATTACAAATAGCATATCTCTTAAGAAACATCTGGAGTTTCTTTTTTTTATAATCTCGTTATACCATTTGTTCTACCTACTCTATTTTAGTTGGAAGCTATACCTGTACTGTTAACTATTTCAACACATTTATTGAAGTAATTCAGAGTATTCTCTTGCTGCTAAAATATAAAATTATCAGAAAGACTAACTAATAAACGTATATAAGAGCATTCAACAAAAGTGATTAACAGAATCAAGCAGGACAAATTTTGGGAGAGTAAGTCTTCTATATTATCACATTACAGCATTAAGGTAAGGAGAATGTATAAAGGCATTTCAACTATTACACTTTATGCGAGTTTAAAGTTTGTAGTGCAAGCTGGACAGTTGTTAAAAGGAGAAATATAACAACACGACCTGTTACTCCAGAAAGCATAATTGGTTTTATTTAAGCTAACGTTTCGCCATTACGGCTTCGTCGGGGCAAACAAAATTTTGAAATATTTTATATAAGCCTAAATAAGTTAGCAAGTGTCTTGTTTGCCTCGATAAAGCCTTAATATCGAAACGTTGGCTTAAATAAAACCAATTATATTACACTTTACCTTTGGTAAACACCGCTTCATGCGAGGCCTTTCGCACAATACCATAACTCATCAGGTTTGATTACTTGTTCTAAAATTTTCAAGCAGAGCCACATAAGTTTAATAGTTGTATTTAATTTTGAAATGATAGATTAGAGGTGTTACGTATTACAATTTCGAATGGTCTGAAACTGAGTTAACCTGTAATTTAAATTTAGTAGTTAAATATATGCCGATATGTATCCAATTTATGATGTTTGCCAACAAGAATGATACACACAGTTTTCTTTTTAACACAAATAAGTTTTAATCTATAAACAGCAATATAATTTACAATAACAGTTATTACAAATAGTTATTACACACAATGAGTTATATACAAACATTTTACAAACATACATTCTCTTCTGGAACTTCCTTGATATCTTATCGAGGATTCACGAGGAGCGAGTTAGCTACGAGTTGATGTAGGTACGATTCGCTTAACGGGAAGCTAGCTAGCTTTGTCCTTCTTTATTCACCACGATGAAGTTAGGTAATGTTTTCATAAAAAATACTAATGTCCGATGAGAATCCACTGAAGTTAAATGATTTGTAATGTTCTAACTTTGTAAATGTTCCTGGTCAAATCTCTGAAGTTTTCCGATCGATAAGCATTATAACAATCACAGTTATAGCTTCCAAAGTTTATAGCACACTGACTATAGCAGACTAATAATATATACTCTCTTTTTTGGCGCATCGTGTTGGTTATATTTATAGGCGTGTGGAACGTTTCTAGAAATTACAGATTATGTAAC